CAGGCAAGGCAGAGCGAGGCAGTGCCAGTGCAGTGCGATGCGATGCAGAGCGATGCCCCGCAGCGACGGCGGCGACGGTTGGCCACAGGCAGCAGCGGACAGCCGTGAGTCCGCTGCACCGGCACCCGGGGCCTGGTGGCGAGGGGCGGCGAGGGGCGGCAACGAGCCTGTTGGACGGGCACCGCAGCGCAGTGATTTTAGAACCCAAGAAAGGGCCCCTAGGTGCAAGCACTGCTTGGGGAAGAACGCCGCCCACAAGGGCGGTGGGAGTGTGAGAAGGACCGAGGAGGAGGAGGAGGAGGAGGAGGAGGAGGAGGAGGAGGAGGAGGAGGAGGAGGAGGAGTAGAGCGAGGAAGCACGTGATGCATTGGATGCAGTCTGGAAGTGATGCGCATAGAAGTTGCTCTGTGCACCCTTTGCTGTTGGTCTGCGCTCGTAGGCTGTGGCTTACAATCGCCCTAAAGAGGGACGGAGAGCGTTGACCTGAATCGTAGCGGCGGCTGATTGAAAAAATACCAAGGAAGAAAGACGCTCGCCTGCGCATGCATGCTGAAAGAGTTTGGTTGACATGCCAGCAACGCCATAATTCAGATGTGTCTTGGGTGTCCTCGGATGTTGATGCTAAAGCAGGTTCAAACTTTAAACTTGGAGAGGTGAGTAGGGAGACTGGAAGTGTGGACCCCGCGTTCGGTTCGCATTTGCCGAACTACATGTTGCACATCCGACTCGAACGTATGCGTGCCACAACATCGCATGATGAGATACTGCTCCCCTGCTCACTTTCTGAGGGGCTGCCACACATTCAAACGAATACATATACAGAACGTCTCGACGTTGTGACTTCTGGCACGTCTTGTACCGAAGAGTGGGGGGGACGAGAGGGCGGCGGAGGAAAGAACGCCATGCGGAGCAAAGGGGTATGGGGCCGATCAGGGACGTGATTTGACGGGACAGTGGGAGCCAAGGAGAGAGTGGCGAGGAGAGAGAGGTGCGCGAACATGAAGAGAGGCAGAGAGACGCGGAGCACAGGAGGGAGAGAGAGAGAGAGAGAGAGAGAAAAAAAAAAAAAAAAAAAAAAAAAAAGAGAGAGAGAGAGAGAGAGCAAGAGCGAGAGCGAGAGCGAGAGCGAGAGAGAGTGAGCGAGAAAGATGGGAAAGGCAGGGCATGGATGGGGTGGGGGCACAGTTTCTGAAACAGCTTCGGGGGAGTCTTCAAAGGATAGCCTCGGACGCTGCAGAGCCTGACGCCGGAGCCTCAGGGAGAGCGCGGCCAGGCCTCCGACGCATGTCCGCAGGCGGCGAGGCAGAGGCGGTCCGCTCCAGCGTGTGGCAGTTCGGGCAGGCCTGCGACGCACCCGACTGGGCTTTGGAGGCGCCAGCCAGACCGTCTGCATCTACGTGCTCGAATTCTTTGGCAAGTTGGCGCGAAGTCTTTGGAACATTTACCCAGGTATCTGGCCTCCCCCAGGGCGACGCGACGGAGATGGGCGAGCGCTTTCGCCCGGTGTCGGGCCTGGTGTTCCTGTCGCCAATTTCTGCGACGTTTCCATTGCTCCGGAACGTCGGATCCGAGCTTCGAAAGTAGAGTGCAGGTGAGTCTCTGCATCGGAGCTGCCCAGGGGACAGGAGAGGGGAGAGAGCCGTCAAGGAGGACAACAAGGGGGCAATGAGGAGGAGGCGGAGGAGGAGGAGGCGGAGGAGGAGGAGGAGGCGGAAGAGGAGGAAGATGAGGACAGGCGAAAGGAAGCGGTGGGGGTTGAGGAGAGTTGTGGGGCGGGAAGAACAGAGCGGGTCAGAGGAGAGAGCGGGGAAGGGGGGGGGTCAGGGGGAGGGAGCAGTGGGCGGGGGGGAGTGGAGGGGGCTGGGGGCTGGGGGGCTGGGGGGCGGGTGGGAGGCAAAAGGCGATGGCTAGATGCGCTTGGCAGCCGCACTTGTAACAGGAGAAGGACGCTGCAGATTCCCGTGTCGACCGAATCTGTCACATCGCGGAATGTTGTACGGCGCGAGAGGACGCGGATCGAATGGAACAGCGCTCGCGGTCACCAGGGCGCAACGCGTTACGTGCAGAACAAGAGGTATGAGGGATCATTCGACGCGGAGATCCTCAGACGTGCATTTCGTGTAGTGGCATGTGTTTTTTTGCGAATGTCTGAGCACGGGCAAGTCGAAGCGCGAGTGCTTTACATGAAACTCTGCAAAAGGATGCGAGTGATTTACGCCTGCTACAAGGTGGTGATCACGAAACTCTGAAAAGGATGCGCCTATAGCCAGAAACAGCCATTCGACTCGAAAGTTCCCGCTCATCTGGGCGCGACCGGGCAGGTGTCAAACCTCTTGGCGGCTCCCCCTTTACAGGCCAGAGCGCCCTCCCTGTTTCATCGCGGTGATGGAGGGGCTCTGAGAAGAGACGCGCCCACAGCCGCGAACGGGCATTCTGCACGAGAGATCCCCGCCAAGCTGGGCGCGAGCGGGTCCGTGCCAATACGCCTTGGCGGCTCGCCCGTGGGAGGTCCAAATGCCATGCCTGCTCCATCATGGCGACCGTAGGGCCCTGAAAAGATGCGCGTCCACGGCCGCTAAACGGGCGTTACCCCCACAAGCCAGACGCAAACGGGCCCGTGCAATGCCCCCTGGTGGCTCTCCGTCGGGGGGGGGAGGGGGGGGGGGGCAAACGCGAGGCCTGCTACACCGCGGTGACCGTAAAGCTCTGGCAAGGAATGCGCCCACAGCCGCTGAACGGGCGTTACCCCCACAATCTCGGCGCAAACGGGCCTGTGCAACGCCCCCTGGTGGCTCTCCTTCGGGGGGTCAACGCGAGGCCTGCTACATCACGGTGACCGTAGGGCTCTGGCAAGGAACGCGCCCACAACCGCTAAACGGGCGTTTCGCCCGCGTTCTGGGCGCGCGAACGGGCCCGCGCAGTACCTCCAGGTGGCTCCCGTTGGGTGGTCCAAGTGCCGTGCCTGCGTCATCGCAGCGACCATCGGGCTCTGAACAGAGACGCGTCCACAGCGGCGAACGGGCGTTTCGCTCGAGGCATCCCCACACGCTGGGCGCGAACGGGCCGGTGCACCGTGGTGGCTCCCCCTTGGGTGGTCCGAGTGCCATGCCGGCTCCATCGCGGCAACCATCGGGCTCTTAAAGTAAACAAGCCCACAGCCGCGAACTAGTGTTTTGCTCGAGACATCCTCTAACGCCTGGCGGCCCCCCTTACATCGAGGCGAACATAGGGCTCTGAAATGCCACGAGCCCGTGCAATACCCCATAGCGGCTCCCCATCGCGGTGATGCTGAGTATGATTGACGCTGTGGAGATGCGATCGTGTGTATACGAAACCAGAATGTGAGTGAGTTTGAATATGAGCGAAAATGAGTATGAGCGAGTCTGCGCGTGAATGGGCCTGGGTGAGTGAATCCCAGTGTGATTGAGTATGAGGGCGAGTGGGTCTGAGCATGATCAGTCTGATTGCGAGTGGATCGGAGTGAGAAAGAGTCTCAACGTGGGTGGATCTGAGTATGAAGGGCTTTGTTTATGGGCGAATATAAGTAGGAGCGGAGCTGAGTACGAGTGGATGTGGGCATGAGTGTTGAGGAGGAGTGCATCCTAGTATGAGCGGGCTCGAGTACGGGTAATCAGAGTATGGGCGACCAAGTAAGAGTGGGTTTTCTGGGCATGAGTCAGTCTGCGTGTGAGTTTGGGTGTGAGTGAGATTGATCGTGGGTGAGATAGGAAGGAAGTGGGAAAGATGGAGGCGGAGGCACCACACGAAGAACAAGAGCCCCATACTCAGGAAATAGGGAGCAGAAGAGGGATCGCGTGATGCATGCAAGGGCCCCCTGTGTACTACCACTTCAGTGGTATATTTGGTTCTTTTGGGCCAAGAAGATGCCATAGATTTCCATGTGCGTTGACACGGAGCCGCGCATGCACAACCAGAAGTGCAATCGCGAAAGAAAAGTTTACACAACACGTAATTAACGGAGCCCGCGGGGATGACAGAGATGAGAAAGAAATAGCACTGCGTGAGAGAGGCAAACGCGGAGACAGGTAGGCACAGACGTGGAAGCAGACGAGGAAATGCATAAGTAGCATCCAAGATCAGGAGGAGGAAACGTATCGTATGTGATCGGTTACCATGGAGAATAACATGCGCCGCGTGTCTCAAGTAGTTTGGATATTTGTGGAGACATACCCCATTCAAAGATGCTGTGGTATGCCAAGAGGCATCATACGACGTCAGTTCTACAACAGTAATACATGAGCATATTGCCTACGTCAGCTATTGTCGGACAGTCGTTCTGTGGTTTCAGAACTAAGCTGTTTACGACCCTCAAACAACACGGTACATGTGAATACGATCGCATATTATAGTTCGAGTTGTAATGTGTTCGTTGTTAATTGTTTCCATTCGTTGTATGTGTGCTTTTCTTGTTCTAATTGAGGCGGACGCACGGCGGTATTGAAACAAATTGTGGGGTCGTGCGCACAGCTGTTTATCATAGACGTCGCGCCTTGCATTCGATAGGGGAATGTTCGTTATTTCAGCCGGCCAGAACATGCCGAAGTATTTGCGCGTCCGCCGAGGGCGCCCTCGGCTTGACGACACGATTGATTGCATCGACCTCCTACCAGGGGCACCAGTAGACTGAGCAAGAGGGAGCAATATTCCAGCAAGGGAACGAGCGTGCTAGCGACATGCAGGAGTTGCAGTAACAGGGCAAGGGTTGTCAATGACAGGGCACGGGAGCTCACGTAATAGTGTCAGGGGGTTCAGCAACACGGCCAGGTGGTCCAGCAACACATTCAAGGGTTTCAGCTTTAGGGCCAGAATTTGGTGTAGCAAGGCCAGGGGTCAAGTGGGCAGGGGGTTCAGTTACAGACCGGGGCCCCAAAAAATTGAGCACCCAGGCCAAAGGTTTTCACCTGAATGGCCAAAGAGTTTAACGACAGAGCGATTGAATTAATTTGCAAAGTCAGATGTTGACTTCAGATCAGCAGGGACGTTGCCATGTCCTCGTCCTCCTCGCCATGCGTGGCTTGCAGTGACTGCTGCGACTGTTTCCTTTTTTCCGCCGCAGCATGTTTGGCCCAAATTCGGCTGCAAGTTTACTTGCTGGTCGCAGCGGGCGGCTATGCCGAACAGTTTCGCGCTCCCAGGGGTGTTCGATAGAGGAAGCATCTGGGAAGAGCTTCGCATCATGGCCCGTTTCGCACGCTGCCTGCTTGCGGCCCCGAGGGGCTCGCATACCTTCGCAGGAGATGGCGACGACTCTGAGCTGGAGAGAGTGCTGCACGCCTTCGAGACGGGCTCTCAGACGAGCCCCGAGGACTGCGACATTCTGCGAGCCTTCATTTCTTGCCACAACGCGCGCAGACTCACGCTCGCAGACCGCGCCTCTTGGCCCCGAGCGGAGCTGCAGCAGATGGCTGCGAGGTTGAGCCCGCTGACCGAGCTCCTGCCACCGCCCACGCCCTGCGAGTACGTGGAGGACAGCATCGCCTGGTCCTGCTTCGGGTCGCACTCTCGGCGGGAGGCGTGGCTGGGCCACGGGTACTTCTTTCGGCAGCGGACACGCGACGATGAACCGCTCGACAACGCAGCCGGCAGCGCCATGAGCGATTACGACGTGCTGGAGGACGGTTTTACACGGCTAAGGGGCGCCTCGGTGCTTGCGGCAGATTGTGCCCAGCTGCGCCTTGACTATCCTGCTCTCCAGGGCTTGAACGATGCTGAGATCGGAAGCTGGTTGGTAGAGCAGTGCGGCTACTTGTCGGCTGGCCAGCTGAGGAGGTTGCAGGCAGGCGGGGACCACCACGAGCTGCTGGGGCTTCACCAGCTGCCGGGGGACCTCGAGCAGCTGGTGGACACCGATGCGCCTAGGATCTGGCAACAAAGAACGACATAAACATAGATGTTCGGGGATCCGCCTGGATTTCTCGGATCGGCGCTGGACCCCCCTGTCTGGCGCGCGGAGCGCGCCGGAGGGGGCGCTGGAGACGCTGCCAGGGGGCCCCAGCGCCGATCTGAGAAGTCCCCGCGGACCCTCGAGAGTTCATGTTTATGTCACTGACTGTTCCCCGATAGGAGGGCCGCGCTCAGGCTGAGGTCGGGGGGGCGGGCGGCCACCTTCTTCGTGGACGGGCGCTACTCCATCTCGGCCGAGGGGCTGCAGGCGCAGATGCTGGACGTGAAGGGCGTCGGCACCCACAGCGACGCCCTCCTGTCGAGCCCGAAGACCACGGGCTTGCTCAACCTTGCGGACGCCCTGACGGAGGTGTGTTACCAGCGGCTTGTGCAGCGTATCGCGGAGCTCGAGGGCGCCAACTGGAGCACAGTGCGGTACTATGCAATCCTGGACACAGGGCTCCAGTACCGGTCGACGAACCCAGCTACTGGTTGGGACGGCGAGCGTTGCGTGTTGTTGGTCCGGCAGCCGCAATCAAGGTTTCTGGACGATTACGATGGCTTCAATTTCAGTGGTGTGGCGCCTGCCGATGTCTTGGGCACGGGGACTGGCAAGATGATGAAGGAGGCTCTGCAGAAATACGGTGTCTCGGCTGAGTTTGTGCCATCGGCGCTCTTCCAGAGTGATTCGGCCCATTTTGAGGGCGAGTGGAATCTACAAGTGGATGCCCCGTGCACTCACCTGATGGACTTCAGCGATTTTTATGTGTTGCCGAACTCACCACTTCCGAGTGCGTGGCGCATGTCCGAGGGGGCCCTTGTTGACGCCTTGGCATTGGAGCGCCCCTTCGTCTCGAAGCATTTGTTGGAGATGCGCGGTTGGTGGCATTTGTTTGGAACTAGCACTTTGGCTGATACTAACGCGCAGCTTGAAAAACGGCGGATTCAGTTATCATCGAGTCCGCGTCACAGGAACGCTGCGTCGATGGTTACGGATGATGGCATCATCTTACCATGCAAACCAAAATTTTGCATGTGTTGGTTCATGGAATTATGCGACAGCGAAGTGGTATTGTGGGCTACAGCTGAAGCTGAGCGCATTTGCGGGTCGGTGCTAAGTGGGACGTCGGCCGCTTCACGCGTATTTTCGCAAATTGACATGTGGCTACCATTGTCCGGTGTGCCTTGACCACGGCCTTTCGTGTCCGCTCACGATTCCTCAAAATTGCCGTCAATGCGAAGCGAGTTTGCGATTGCATGCACGGTCTTTCGATTGTGAAGTTCAGAGTTGCTTAAATCGTACAGTATGTTGGATGTGCTTGTTCTGCGATGTCAGCGATCGAAAGGCCATCGCACTCTGCACTCGGAATGAGGGGCTTTCGGCGTGCCCTCTGATATGACACTCATTCAGAGCCGCCCGAAAATATGATGGATGCTATTGTGTTGATGATGCTTCCCCAGGAACGTTACATTAGCATACAAGTAACTCAAACGGCTATGTAGTATTTGGGGGAGGCGAGGTGGTCTTGGCGTCTCTTCCCCATTCCTCCTATTCTGTTTGCTCCAGGCTTTCCCTCCTCCTCCCCTCGCACCTCCCCCTCCTATGTATCCTGCGGTCGTTCTCCCCCGACCTCCCCCGTCGCTTTGTGTAGTCGCTTCGCTCACTCCGCTGGCCCATGATGCTGCATCGTTGGCGTCTGCCCGCGTGGTCGTTGCCCCTGCGGCGCTGCCGAGGCGGCAGTGAAGCTCCAGAGGCGGGAGGCGGATCAGCTCTTGTGCACTTGTTCTTGGGCGGGTTGCTTTGGGGGATCGTCAGTTGCTCGTGGCCGAATCGCGGGCTCTCAGGGAGGGTGGTATGGGGGAGCGGGGCAGCTGCACGTCTCACGCGGTGTTCTGCCTTTCCGAAGCGGAGGTCGGTGGGATTCGAACGCGGTCGCATCCAGGATGGTCCCCAGAGGCACCCGCAGGGCTCCCGAGAGGACACCAAGAGAGCTCCAAGAGCGCCCAAGAAGCCCCAAGAGGCCTCCAAGAAGCACCCGAGAGGCACCCAAGAGGCCCCCGAGCGGCCTCGAGACCCCAAGATGACCGCCAAGAGGGCGCAAGATAGCCCAACCTGACTCAATGGCTCTCAAGATATTCCAAGAGGCCCCAAGACCGCTCCAAGACGGCCGATTCAAGATGGCCACGGAGCCTCCCCAGGAGGCCGCCAAGAAGCCAAACTCTGTTGATTTTGCGTCAGTTCTCATGGGCATCGTTTCTGGATGGGCTGGTGGGGAAACGGGAAACGTGAAGCGTCAATAATTTAGCATAAAATTGATATCCTGTAAAACAACCATGTCGGATGTGTGCCGATCGGAAATTTCGCGTTGATGGAAAATTGTTCTTGCGTCGTTTACAACAGGAAAAATAAAACTCACGATTCCGCAAAATATAATATCATTATTTCTAGGGTTTCCGGAGTCTCCGGTGTCATCGATCGGTGGTCGGTTGAATTCTTGACGTTTCGTGTGTCCCTACCAGCCCAACCAAAAACGATGCCCATGAGAGCTGATGGGGGAGAAAGGAAGAGACACGCATAGTCAAACAGCAAGAGGCTTGGGAGGATCTGTGGCCATCTCGAACCGTTTGGGAACGGTCTTGGGGCCGATTGCAGTATCTTGGGGGCCAGTTTGAGCTATCTTGGAAGTCCTAGGCTCTCTGAGGCCGTTCGGAGGCCTCTTGGGTGCTTTTCGGGTGCTTGCTGTAGCCTTCTTCGGAGCTCTGGAGCGCCTCTTGGGGCCATATTGGAGACGGTCAAAGGAGGGGGGTTCTCGATTTGCTCCCCCCTTCGGGGGCCACGATCCCCGTGAAGGGTGTTAAAAATTAGCCCTCCCAGGGGCCGAAAAAGGACCTTCTGACACATCGGTCCCCCTCCAAAAAAATTCAGAGAAGGGAGAGAGAGGGCTCCCGTCCCCAAAGGGAAAAGGAGTTGTGGAAGAGGAAAGAGACCTCCTTGCTCCACCTGTCGCCCAAAGGGCTGGCGGGATTAGTTCAACGGAAATTACGCATTTCCCTTTCTCGCGGTCACGAATGCAAGTTCTATTGCCCGCGCGACTTCCCAAATCCGGATTCAACGTGATGCAACACCAAAATCTATGTACAACGCGAGCAAGTTTAAGCTAGTGGTTCCTGAGTGTAACTATTTCCATTCCCTCTGGCCCGTGCGCCGTAGCCCCTGGTCAAAATAGGAGAGAAAAAAAAAGCTTCCGATGGCCGCGCCCCGCCGCAAAAGCCTGTGGGCGCGCGCAAAACAACAAAATTGCATTGCAAAGGTGAAGGGGATACGGAAGAAGAGATAGAGGAGGAGGAGGAAGAAGAGGAGGAGGAACAATAGAAGGAACAAGAGGAGAGGAAGGGGTGAGAAGGAGAACGGGTCAAGTAAAGGAAAACAGAACAGCAACTCCACAATTCGAGCATTAGCCGAAAACCCAGAGAGAGAGAGAGAGAACGCACGGGAAAATCAAGAGACATTTGTAAAAATTCACCGGAAGAAAACATAGAATGAATACACAAAAATCGACGAAACAGCCATACGCCAAATGCGCGTGGGCAAGACAAAGAGATGCGACGCGCCAAATGCGTGCGAGAGCAGACGATTACACGCCAAAACGTATGTCCGGATGGCCTGGAATACGCGCCGAGAGGACGCAAGGAAGAGGAGCAGGACGCCGAAGAGCAGATAATTACACGCCAAAGCGCGTGCACAGGTGGCCTGGACGCGCCAAATGCGCGCCGATGGGGACGGAGGGAGGAGGAGGAAGATGAAGATACATGTGCAACTTCCTGCCAAGACGCACAAGCCATGCAATGCATATCATAAGTATTCGTCTTCTCCACATCCACTTGGCCTGGAAAGTTTGATGCTGAAAGCGTGCCATCTTTCATCGTCCCGGAGCGTGTCCATGAAAGCGTCAGAACTAGGGAAACATGAAGAAACAATTGATAACAATTTTACTGCCCATTCTCTTTTTGGTCTCCCCCGCGCACGTTTGCAAGTCAACGTAACCGGCATGAGAGTATCAGATTGAAACGTTGCCGCACGCAACGCATGAGTGTTAGGGTTCCGGCCAATCTTCCCAAATAGTTGAAGTTGTTGAAGCAATAGCTGCGATATGTAGGGCAGCTGTTGGCGTCTCTCCAGAACGGTCTTGTTTGATGTTCTAGAAATGAACGAATGGGGGATATTCAATATTTTCCTGAGGCATTTTGCTTGGAAGCTGTCCAATCGTAGTTTTTCGGCTCTGTTGAACCACGCCGAGCTGAGGGAATACATGGCCTAACTTGTGATCATCGCCTGGTAGATTGGTAGCTTCCTTTTGACGCTGATTGAAGTGTGCTTCCATACTTTCGCATATCTGCTGAACTCTTCCCAAGCCTGCCCCAATCGTTCGTTTGATTCTGCATGTATGTGTCAATGATTGTTGGTTGTACCCCCGAGGTACACTACATTGCTTTCTGCCTGTGTTTCTTCCCCGTGCGGCGTAAGTAATTGCGTCGTGTTGTTCACGTGCATAACTTGCAACTTATCTCAATGCAGCTCCATGCCAACTTGCCCCCCAGCTATAGCGACCGCATTCAATAAGTTTTGGACATGCTCCTGGCTCCTATCACAAATCAAAGTATCGTCTGCGTACAGCAGACTTGATACCATACCCATTTTAAATGACAGTGTTGTTTGTTCGCTAAGGAGCCCTACTGCATCGTGTATCACCACCGTCATCACCATTATGAACAAGAACGGGGACAAAGGGCACCCTTGCGCAATGCCCGAGTTCCGCGGTCTCTCTTATGACTTATGCCCCCCGTCCGCGACACAGAACATCCTGTTAGTATAGATGTTTTTGATGAGTGCCAAAAGACGCCTGGGTATACCGAACCTTCCCAGAGCTGTTAGCATCGCCTCCACAGTGATTGAATCAAACGCCTTCTTCCAATCCAGCGCGACGGAGGTTGAACCAGAATTGTTCCGTATGTTTGAGAATTCTATATGTCGTCGTACCATATGTATTGCATCAGCCGTGCCGCGCCCCCTGCGAACAGCCAAACTGGGTTGCGTCGAGCCAGTCTTTGGCACCAGCATCCTGCAATCGCTTTAAGTGTAAACTTGCCACCGTCTTGCACGCGACGCAAAGCAAGCTGATTGGTCTGTAGTTGTCGCAGATGTGCACAGGCCCTTTGTTTTTAGTGATGGTGCTCACCAGCGAGCGCCGCCAAGCTTGAGGAACAACTTCTTCTGACCAGCATGCGTCGCATAACTTCGTAAGGCATTATATACCTCCGGGTGTTTGAGCTACTGCTTTCCAGCATTCTGCCGGGACACCGTCCGTTCCGGCAGCCCTGCCGCATTTGAGTTGTCGAACAAGGTTCCCAACCTCTTGAGTTGCGAACGCAGTTTCGCAGAGTGGCATCGTAGGCCCCAAAAGGTCTGTCGGTAGTAACTGTGTTGGTCGTGGTCTCCATTGCACTTTCTCCAAAAACTCCGCCATCGCATTTACCCGTTCGGAACTCTCCACCAGCTTCCCCGCCAGATGTTGTAGGCGTCCTTGCTTGCGCGGGCGCTACGCAATGAGCGCGCATGGCATCCCAAGTCCCGTTTGCAATGCGCCTTACAGTCCAAGATGCGCTGTCATGTTTGCAAGATCTTCGCATTTGTTTGAGTAGACGCTTCTCCTCTTGAGTTATATTCGCTTCTCGGGCCCTGCTCCCTTTATCTATCAAATCCACTATATGTTTGCTAATCCACGGTTTCTTCTTTTCTGCTGAAACTACAGCGGTAACAAATTGAGCTGCCTGCACCCCTTGTTCCCATAGATGTTCTACCGTTTCTGGCATCGTCGGAAAATCTTCCAGTATGTCCAGAAACCTTTCTGCATATAGTAGTCGTAGCCCGTGGTCCCGGAGAGTTTGACGCGCAATTCTTGCATGTTGTTGTTCGCGTGGCGTTTCCACTGTGCACGTCATGGTGCAGGCGACAAGGTAATGATTTGTGGCCATCAGCATTTGTCGATGAATCTGTATATCTTGTATTCGTGATACCACAGCCGCATCGCAAAGAAGCATATCACATATGTTGTATTGTTGTGTTTTTTTCCCGAGATCTCCCCCATGAAATTTGCGCCAGGCTCGATAAACTAATATGTTTTCTTCAACTGGCCGTTTGAAGAAAGAGTGCGCGATCGGCAAATCGAGGCCATCGCAGAATTCGATCAGCCAATCAACGTTCGGGGTGTCAGTTGCGTGCAATGTTTCTCTGCCCCAACCGTGATCTCCAATAATTTGTTTTTCTCCATTGCGTGCCCGCCCCACCCGCATTCAAGTCCCCGAAAATATGTGCCCCTATGTTGGCGAAACATATCTCGTATTCCATATCGAGATCGGCATAG